AAAATCTTCCTCCAACATCATCTTTATATTCTTTCATTATTTCCAAATGCGTGGGCTCCACTCATCAAGACTTTTACAACAAATCCAACCATTATTAGAAAATTCTACCTTTGCTCTTTTTGTTGAATTTAATATGATTTTTTTAGTAGAATAGATGGCCAGCGAAAGACTGGTCCGGGGCCGGGTGGCTCATTAGTCAACATCCGCTAATCTCGGCTCCTGCGTTTTTGCCGGACCTCATTTGAATGAATTCAGTTTCTTCAACCCGAAAAACAAATGCTTTACTTTTTTAAAGCAAATAATAATATGAGGACACACATTTGATGCGCATAATTGTTGTTTTTTTTTTTTTTTTTTCATTTTTCATTTGATGCGCATAAAAGAGCTGAAATTTTAATAGAGACTAGTTAGACTCAATAACTAATTGAAGCACTAGAACCAACATCATCACCTTCATCTTTAACATCCACAACATAAGAGTTTGAAGGTGACCGAAGAAACCAATTATTAGAGTCTTTGGAACATGAAGAGAAATTAGTCTTTTCTGCTTGATGTGTCGCCATAATTAACCGCTTGAGCTCGGCGGCTACTTCTCCCATAGAAGGCCTTTCCTCCCTTTCAACCGTCAAACATCTTCTTGCTAAAGAGCTTACTTTTTCGGCCGTCACATAATTTCCCCCGTTGATTATTTCACCATCAAGAATTTCATTTAAGTGTCCTTGTTCCGCTAAACAAAGAAAGAAGCTTACTAGGTTTATCTCTTCCCGAGGCCTTTCACGCGAAATTGGCCTTCGACTTGTTAGTAGCTCCAATAGGACAACTCCAAAGCTGTAGACATCGCTCTTTTCTGTTAGCGTGCTTGACATAACATAGTCAGGATCTAAGTATCCGAATGTCCCTTTTACTACAGTTGTCACGGAATCTTGATCTTCATCAAGCAATCGTGAACATCCAAAGTCTGAAACCTTTGCTGTGTAACTTTCATTCAATAGTATATTTGCTGTCTTCACATCTCGGTGTACGATTGACATGAGGTGCAAGTATGATAGTGCTTCTGCAATTTCTGCTGCTATCTTCAGTCGTAATTCAAATGAGAGTTTCTCTCCTTTGCCTTCGTTGTGAATGTGCTCATAGAGAGTCCCGTTGTCGATGAACTCATAAACCATTACATTCGTTTTTGCCTCTAAACAACAACCTAAAAGCTTCACGATGTTTCTGTGCCTGATCTGAGAAAGAATAGACGCCTCATTAACGGAGTTAAGGTCATGTATTTTGGACTTTTTTATGGCAACAACTGTTTTATCTGGCAGTATTCCTTTGTAAACTATTCCATAGCCTCCTTCACCAATCCTTGTACCTGCATTGTAATTTTGTGTGGCCTTCTTAAGTTCTCTTGCAGTAAAGCGTCTGAGTGCTATCACAACAGATGCTGGTGCTGCCCCAACAGGTGTTGGTGTTGCCTCAGCAGATATTCGTGTTGCCTCAACAGGTCTTTGATGACTATCCAATTTTTCTTTGAGTTTGCCATACTTTTTGATGAAATGCACCCTGAATTTAAAGACTACACCCTTCATGTCGTCGGCCATTAGAATAAGGGCTTCAACATCACCAATTGCCCTAGCAGACTCTGTTGCGGTGGGTAACGTCTTTGGAAAAGATGTCGAGAATGGCCAAGCTAGAAGCTTTTCTCCATATAATTCTCTGGCACCTTGATTCAAAGTAGAACCACCTTTCTTTTCAATGGCTACATGTCCTTCCACAATGAAGAGCATCATTTTAAGTGGTTCACCCTCTCGAAGAATGAGTTTGTCTTCAGTATACTTCATGGGCTTTAGATGCTGACAAATTGCTTTCAACACTTGTTCATCCATGTTTTGAAGGACTCGCACCTACCATTAATGAATTAATATTTAAGAGGAATGATTAAATAAGTAACATAACATCATAGCAGCAAACTGAAGTCATGGGTTTGGACAAACGTACCTTTTTCAAACTAGTGAACGGCATATAACTTTTGATCTGGTTTTCAAGATCTGAGGGAAGAGTAGAGAGGAAATTATCTAAATCAACATCCCTGTTTTCTTCAAATTCTTGTTCTACCTTTTCCATCATCTGCAACTTTATATTCTTATGTGACTTTTCAGGGATGCCATTTTTAGGCAACCATAATTCTAGCTCTTGACCCTTCTCTTCCATCTTCCGTTTAATTTTCATCTTGTGTCTATGCGCCTCTATTCTTGTAGTGTCCAAGGACAGATATGTCTATTCCACAACAAGAAAATGAATGAGTTATATTCTCTAATTAAAGATATTACAATGATTGATTATCTGAAGTCTAATTAAATATATTACAATGATTGATTATCTGAAGTACTAATCATATTAGAGCAGAACTGAAGTGGAAATTTCAGATAAATGGGCACCAACCTGCAGATTTCCAATAAGATATATAAATAGTAGCAAGCCAATTATAGAAATAAAAACCACAAAGAGGTTTTCCCAAGTGTTGGTACTGGGCTGGAGGTTAGAACCAAGAGAACTGCAAAAATAAATGGAGCACGATATAAGATGCGAGTATGAACTTACAAATTTAATGTGAAGTAAGAAATATACAACCATTAATTTTCCCATGTTCAAAGCGTTAGTTCTTTTCGCCTCTGCAACAATTCAATGTAATTAAAAACGTGTAAATTTTTTTAAAAGTTGATTAGGACTTATTGATTATAGGGTAAGATTTAGTATCATTTTTGACTTAGAATGTACAAACCTCAAATTTCGTAGGCCCCAACAAAAGCAGTTTGTGAACTTCTGTAGAAAATTTGTTGACGAGGGCACACCAGACTGAAGGAGACTAAGAAATATCCCAAATTCGAAGAATGTTGTATTTGGTGAACTTACAGGGCATAAATCATTTTTGGATGTACGGTCATGACAACCAAAAGTAGTAGAGTCGCACCCATTTTCATTTCGACATGCATATGCCCAACAAACTGTCATTTGTTGAATAGCAAAAAAGTACCATACAGCTCCGAGTACCTGAATGATCAACAAGGTTAATTAAGTTGAACTTATTAGAAAATCATGTAAGATAAGAAAGTACAAATATATAACTTCAATTAAGGCAGGAAACTAGATAGAAGGTGTTATAAGAAAAAAATCAACGGATGAAAAAATATATATATATATATATATATATTTCTTCAAACTTCCTAAACAAATGTTGTCAAATTTAGGTATCCTTTAAACGAGCACTAAGCATTGAAGGAAGAACTAAAAGTTAATAACGATATATTATGTTTGTCAGTATCAAGGTTGATTCATTTCAATAACCCAACATTTAATTTATTTCTGTTTAGGTTTTTAATAATCAAACATAGGCAGATGTGAATTCTAACTTAGTACATCTTCTAACATTCAGCAAATGAATAAGTAAGACCAAAGAGTTTGTTCATGACATTTAACTTGTTTAACATAAATTTTATAGAGTTCAAATACATCATGACAAGATGAAAACTTACATGACTAGCAAGGATGTACATAAAGAAATTCAATACACCTTTAACCCATACTGGCGTCTGTCTCTTGTGAGACATTTTAGGTGCCTTGCATGATAGGTATATACGAATAACCCGTGGTAAATATTGCATCAGAACAAAAAAGTTCATAATAAACTTCCTTGTATCCAAGGATCTCGATGCCCTCATTTTTGAAAAGAAAGTGAGAATCAGTACCTGAAAACAATATAATTTAAATGCCAATAATTAAGTCAAATAATCTTGAGAGAAAATATTGAAACAACACTAATGCTAAGAGCATCCACGATCATGCTCTTTATTATTTAGTTAAAATTTAACTAAAACACTAGAAAGCTATTTTACGAGCTCCTTATAAAATTTCAATTCCAACCATACTCCCTAATTTAGGGAATCATAAATGATATATATATATATATATATATATATATATATATATATATTTAATAGCATAAATACTCTCTCTTCATATAAAAAAAT